CACGTGGCTATGTGGCTATAGCGTCGTAGGCGCCGTTACTAGCCTGTGAGCTTCAGAACCAATAGCTCGATTTGAGGAAGTGGGTGGCCCATTGATATCGCAAAGCAGTTTCCGCCATTGCGAGGAACCAAAGGTAAGGTAAGCAAAAAGAATAGTTTTGGCAACAGATGCTTCCACTCGAAGCTACCAGCAAACAAAGAGGCAAATTGGCCCGACATAGATTGGATTCAACCAACGGTATATATATATGCATATGTGATTGTCACCAAGGAGGTCAAGCCTTGGCATACATAATCTCTATGACTTGTTGATGGTTTAGCCTGAATCGCAATGGAGCCTCTTAGTGCCAGGCAAGGGGCATGCAGCATGCAACAGGTAATCCTACTCTGTCGGTTTGGAGCAGTAGCACATGTGCACATATTTTGCTTTAAAGATTCTGCTCCTTGTGCGTCCTTCTGTTCCTGACAAGGCTTGGGCGGCAAGGCCTGGTAGTTGCCAGAGATGGTGGGTGTTAGTTGGCTGCTGCTGGAGTTTTGTCTCTTGTCACTTGTCTTCGTGTCGACATTTGATGCTCAAAAGCTGATCACATTTGAGGAGCTGTCAAGTCTGCAACAGGTACGGGAAGTGAAGTGGGTGTTGCTGCGCCACTTACTGCCCGTGAACCACGCGAACGAGGCACTAAAAGACAAGCCGGCAAGTTCGGAATCCGCTACAAGCTGATATAGCAAAACGTTACTTATATATATATATAAGTTATACGTATGTTGCGACTATTGACCATTGACCACTAAGGCGTTTTTACTTAAACATGTTTAAACCCTCGCGTTGCAGGACCTCCCTGCTTCTCCGTTCCCTGAGTTTGCAGGTGGCCCGCCCAAGTCGAAGGCTTGGTGCCCAGTTCCACTCAAAGCGATCATTGATGGTAAATTCATGTAAATTGTTGTTTTGTTCAGTTCATGTGTAGCTCGGAAAACGTGCAGAGTAGAGGCAGTTGTTTTAAAGATTCTTAAAGAAGATGCTTGACTGCTTGAAGCTCTCCTTCCCAAGACTACCCAAGTCGGTGTGGATACCCAATCAGTTGCGAACAAAGACAGCGGTTGGATAGCCCTGCTGCTGGATTGAAAAGCATTGTCCAAAAGTGCGGACCATTCTGAAACGGTTCCTATAACCAGGGAGTCCGGTTAACCCAACCAGTCGACGCATGCCCCTGACAAGGCACTTCTTGGGAAACATGTCCATAGCCCAAGTTGGTTGGGATGTCAATGCCAACGGATCAGTCGAATTCAGTTGATGGGATTTGCCACCTGGAGATGTTTGGTGAATCTGTTTCTCACAGCTGCGTGCTGACGAAAACGCAATTTATAAGCTTTGTCGTGGCATGGTGAGGTCCATCAAGCAAGCTGCTGTGTTCGTTGCGCCAGCACCTTTGCGTTTCTCTAAGGATACCAAGATGTCAATGGAAGGTTCGATGGCTTCGTCGTGTCAAGGAACCGCAGACATGAAGCCTTTGGATTCCGTCGGTGTTTTAGTTGACAAAGATGATAGGTCTGGTGCATGTCTGGAATCCGCAGAGGATAGGCCAAATGTAACTTCTTATTACACGGTGCTGGCATCATTCTCGGGAAGGAGTGGCGGATGGGCCCGTCACTTGGGCATTCTGAGTGTTGTTCAGTGATGTTGTGTGTGAGATCGGAATTTCCACAGGTGGCCTCAGTGCGCTTGGCAGTCACGTGGACACGTCACTTGGGTCAAAGTCAAGACCTTGTTAGTTACTTGTTGTTGATACCGAGAGTGCCTTACCCGGAAAAGCGTGGCGACTTAGCTTTTCCACGCTGCTTTACCATTCTCGACATGTTTACTATGCTCTAGTCTATTTGCTAAAAGATTCTAAGACACAGTTGGGAAACCGCCCAGAATATCAAAGACTCATTTGGTGTGTATTCAATAGGGAGATCCCCAACCAATGGGTTTTGGTCTATTTCCCTTAGGGTGTCTTTGGGAGGTCCCCTTATTTTACAATGAGTCCAGCATGAGGAACACAGGTGGTTGGTGTGAAGATACCATAAGATACCAAAAGCACTGAGCTCCCAGGATATGCCAGGAGAAGACACCGAAAGCGCGGTCAATCGTTGTTCTCGACGTCGTCGACCACTCGTCGCCGAATCATACCGAGGTCACGGCGACGGGAAACCATGAGCCAAAAAGAGCCGGGATGGCCCGGCATTGAAACGCAAGAAAATGGAGGATGAACAGCAATTGAGAGGCCATCGCTATTAGGTTGGAGGCCATCGCCATTATGTTTCAATATGTTTCAATTAAGGAAACAGGTACCTCCTTGCCTTTCACACAGGTTCTTGGCGCATCGGTCCATGGGATTCCATTAGTGCTGGTTAGTCGCTTGTGTAAGACACTTGAGGGCCTTGATGGCCTCTAGGGATTGCGGGGGATAGGAGCATTCACGAACTGAGTGATTACGACAGGCACTTGTTTTGTGACAGACATCACTAGACGATACGTAAACCAAAATATTCACTATATATATATATACGTGTAATGTTAATTAATATATACATAAAATATACATATATACATAGGCAATATATATATATATAATTGAACTTGCACGGTGGCTCCCATACTGGCTTGCTCAGGATGATGAGAGCTCAGAAGACCAAAGAATTTGCGCTGAAGCTGTCCATCCACCCTGTTTAGACTGCCAGATTCAACTTTCATGCTTTTTTGTAACGTTTTTTTGGGTCTGTGTAACAGGATCCCAAGTGGACGATGATAGGTGAAGTGTCAGAAAGGACAACGCAATGCACTGAAGGATTTTGCAGACCCCCTTTGTCATGTCTTCCACTTTCCGTGTGACCTCCGTGCAGTTCTTTCCAATTTGTTTGTGAGCCCGATTACCTTCAGCACACTGATGACCATGAAATCGTGTAGAGATGCAGGTACTGCGCTTGTAGGATGCAGACCATGTAACGGACAGATTCTTGCAGCTGTGTCCCACAGAAATCCTTTACAATTTGGTTTTATTCAGCTGCCATGAGTATGAGTATATACTGTAACAGTCAATTATAATAAGTATTCTTCCATGTTTTGCGATACAAAAATAATCAATACCGAATTTGCCATGTCAACAACAATCAGGATATTGAGAACCCATGTACTGGCAGTACTCTATGGTCTTTACAACTGTACAGAACAGATTCCTTGATGCTTCTTGTAGTTGCTAGTTTTAGCCTGAAAGCTTCCAATGACCACAGACGATTGTGCACCCTCCCATGCTGCATATCTCAGCTTTTGCCACGGCAGGGAAAAACTCCACAAATTGCGAGGGGAGGATGCTGTGCGAATGAAGGACTGTATATTTAAACATATACTAAAACTCTTTGTGATGAGGGCTGGGCTGCGGTGGCTAAGGTAGTACGCGAAGGTCAAAATTGTTTATGGATGAACGTTCTGAGTGAAATCCAGACCCATGCGGTTTCTCAGCGGCATGCAGGAACGTTTCGCTCGGCAGCAGCAGTTGAAAGATCACCAGACCGAGGTGAGTGTCGCCGGTGTTGCGGAGCTTTGTGTAAGAAGAACTGCGGAATTCATTGAGGTCTTGAGGTCATTTGATGTTTGAAATCTTCATCCATGCTGTTCGTGGGATGATAAGATGAGGTGATCGTTTTTACATGTTTTTACAGCATCAAGATCCATCAAGGCAACTTTATATATATATATATACAGTAGGTTTGCAGACCCTTTGGAAGCATCTACAGTAATCGGTGTCGTTCAACCCTTGAGCCAAACAGACGTGGTTAGTTGATGGGCTGTTTGCACCTGAATACAGTTGCATAGTGTCTCGTTGCCACAAACAAGAGTAAGACACTAATGCAAGCAAGCACTTGCCTCTCTAAGTTAGTCCCTGATGGGAGGAGCTGTCTTCAACTGTTTTCTCTTTCAGATCCACTTTACTCCCTACGTGGGTCCAAACACTTCCTTTCGGCCCAGCTCATGGTGAGAGCCATCCTCTCGGAGAATGGCCTCAAAGCAGAGGCGTTTCGGCAGACATTGCAACAATTGCATGGCCCAGCATGGCCCCAGATGCATCAAAAGCAGAAGCTGGGGTGAACAGTTATGGCCGCGTGAGGTTTTGAACAATTCGGTGAACATTACAGAGGACAGCATGTTGAAGACCTATGGGAAAGGTATGGAAAGGCGACGACATGTAGCAAAGGATCTTGTCTTGAAACATATTCATATTCCATCATATTCCCATCCTTTTTGGCTCAAAGGTTTATCTCAGTCTTCGTTGCAGGCCGGACAGCTCCTTGAGGAGTATGATACTCGAATGCGAGATCGGAAGCAGGCACGCTGAGGGGCCAACTTTCCAAGGATATTGATCTCATCCACGAGAAGAAACAGGAGATTTGGAAAATATTAGAGGCTTGAAGTGCTTGAAGATCCATTTCGCATAGGATGAGGCCGTTGAACAAGCATCAATGAGCATGCACGAGCAGGGAGCAGTTCTCTCAGGCTCTCTATACTCGCTGGGACGCTGAAGTTGCACGACGTGTTGAGCATCCTGATGGCCTGTTTGTCCTCAAGGGTCAAGCCTGGATGCCATGGAATCAAAACTTGGCCATGCATGAGTTCAACTCTTGAAAGCGGCTGTTTGCAGTGTCAACTGTAACTTCTAGATATCCTGATACCAAGTGGAGGCAGGGGTCATTTTTAGGTTGGCCTTTCTGCACTGCGTGTCAGTGTCCTGACTTGCCAATATTGAATCGTGCTTTCCTGCAGCCGCTGAATCAGTCAGATGATGAAGGAAGTCGATGAACAAGAAGTTGGAGATAAGGGCTTAAACATGATTGTAAAGAACTAGCTGCAAGACAAGGTGATAGTTCTTGGACAGCCCAACCCTGTGCCAAAGTTTGCTCAACCCTTGTTCAGTGTCCTGCACAAGCCCCACCCACCAGGTGATTGTTTGTTTGCGTGGTGCCGCCATGGCTGTGAGAACACAGCTTTCGAACACATCCTTGACCTCAAGTTGCAGAAATATCACCAGTGGCATCCTTATGTCGGATGTGGGCCACAATGCGGAGCCTATTGAGCTCACCAAGGAAAACCAAATTGGTAGCGTGTCTTTTGTATCTCAATTCATGGGTCGACACCCACACCTTTTCGGATTCAATTCTTTTTTCAGACACACTTCCTGATAAGCTTCCCACTTTGGCTGCTAAACCAGTGCGAGAGCACTTACTTCAAGGAATCCGTGGCGCCCCACTATGATCATATATCCTGTGATGCTTGAAGCTGAGGGACGGGCAAAACTCGCCAGCAACGGCACCAAGGTCCCAATGATTCAAACCTTTGGCATGGTGATTGCTGCAAGGAAAAAATCCAAGAGGCGCACTTGGTGCGGTGCATGTGTCCTTCGCTGCATGTTGCACCCCTACAATAAACACATAACAGCTAGGATTATATATAGCTAAGCTGCTCATTTTGGAAAGGCAAATTTGTTCAACAACTGCAGTAGAGCAGATCGCAGCGAATCAAATCATGTGCAGAATTTCACAGGGCCAAAAGCAAGGCTTATTCCATAATTGAATTTCGTTGAGATCGTGCCCAGATTCTGGAGGTGCGATGGCTTGGGAACTTTGAAGAGGTGCCCGAGTATCAGCGCAAGCCGTGCTGCCCTAAGGCTGTGCAAGGTTTGTATCACGATTCTCGTGGTGCAGATCATCGTAATATGACCCAACATATTTCAACCACAAAGCTTCTATACCATACCAGGGATTTTTTGGACGGGGTTCATCATTCATGGGCTATGCTGCGAGCGCTGAGGTATATTCATTGGTACTACCGACTTGAGGCCGTACCGGGTTGAAAAGAAAAGAAACACGCTGTCCGTGGTTCGGGTGATCGGGTTCCACTATGGCAGGCACCAAGGATGCGCCACTTCTGGCGCGTGCATAATGAACTTGGTAACATGTGGCAACTTGGTCAGAGCAGGATCAGCCAGGGAACCTCTACTCTAGGCCATAGGCTGATGTAGGCGGTATGAACGATGCGTGTGTTTGACACGTGCCCACCAAGGACTCATTTATTTGCAGCAGCTGCTTGGTGGCTGTTCACAAATGCAAACTAGGTGAAGCAGACGACCTGTTTAATAGTGGATTACTTGATAAATCGGGTGAAACAAAGTCATTAGCTGTATGTTGTTTGGAACTGTATTAGAAACATCTCGTTTGATTTTGTTCGTACTGGTATATGATATATGAGTATATGAGCGTAATGCATTGAACACAAGGCATTTACTCTTACATCCCAATCGCCTGGATTTTGTAAAATATGTTGCGTACGGAAGTTGTTCTTGGGGATGACTTGATGACACATTCTGTGTACAAGAGCACACAAGCTGCCGCTGACATCAGGCTGTGACACTGATTCGATTTCGCTCTTGGTGGCAGTGCGAGCCTACGCAGGTGCCACCGAGCTTGACCTGCATGGGTGGCGTTTGTATTTCTTTGGCTGTTTACATGGAAGATCAGGAGTCAACAAGTTATCAAACATGACTATGTCACTATTCTCTGAGAACGTATGAGAAAGCCGAAAGCCCGAGCACTAGGCCAATGGCCACCTTCTAATTTGCAGCGGTTTGTCCTGCACAGAACGCCGACAGCCAAACGCATTGATTCGAGCATGATTGAGAAGGAGACGTCCTTTAAGGACATTGAAGGACACAGGGAGAGCCCCTTACAAGTGATACATAGTGATGCATAGCTACTCACAGATGCGATAAGTCCTGCTCAGGATGCGACCGCAGCACCAAGTCTTGTTTGGACACGACAGACCTATGCTGCTGGAGCTCCTGCCCAAGCGAGACAGGACAGGGAAAAAACATCTGAGACAGACCAGTTCATTCCCCACTAGGGATCACGGAAGGGTTTGAAGAAGTGGAACACTCGATTTCTGCAAGCCAGCAGCAGATAGTTCGCCCCCTCATGTTTGCAGGGAAAGGCAGCCAGAAAGGATGTGTGGCAAAGAATCGGAAGGTGTCCTGTGGTCCTTACCTTTTCCTTTGCCAGCGTGTATTTGACCTTTCTCAGGTTGCAACGTTTTTCTTCGGGAGCCTGATAACTTTTTGCATTTCCGCAACTAGGTTGCAAATGAGGGGACTCTTGAGGAGCCTTGCAGGTTGGGGAGCCTTGCAGGTGAGTAAATCTCTTACATAGGGGCACCGATGGGGCATGGATGAAAAGAGGTTGCATTTTTGATGATCTTCGGACAGGCTCCAGCAAACATTTGTAGAATGCCATGAACTTCATGGTGCCAGCCATGCACAACCATGAAACATGTGTGAACCTCAACATACAGCTCCAAATGTTTTTCCTTACTGCAACTGACACTTGTTTTCCCATTTGCTTGCCCGGAGCCCTCTCAGCAACTGTCCATAAGACCATAAAGTTCGCTTTTTGCTTTTTTGCTTTAACCCTCGAGCCGGAGCTGCAGGTGATGTACCACTGGCGGCACTGTGGAAAGGAGCTGGAGGCAGATTGCCGGCAGGTGGTTTCTTTTTGGGACGACAAGAGAAACCAGGAACCCTTGACCTACATGTGATCCAAGATCTAGCCAAAGAAGAAAAACCCTCGTCGTGCCGCACGCGTGCAAAAGAGGCAGGAGACCATGATTGATTGGTTGTGCATGCTGCATGCTAGTTTGAGATTCTGTTCTTGGAACATGTGGTGTGCTGTTTGTATTCCGCTGGAGCGGAGTGTGTATTTCACACGCTAGAAGTTAAGTCTGCCAAGTGAATCTGAATTCATGATTTGCTCAAAGTCTGTCCTTCAGCCACAGGGTGCAAGAGTCTAGCTAGTCCTACATCCTCCTTTAAGGACTACGCAATGCAGGTGTATGCAGGTAGCCAATTTTGTGCCCGTCCTTTGTAGAATGTCTTGACATGGCACATTCAGTGGCTTTGGTGATTGACCGATTGACCAGGTTAAGTGTTGGCTTTGCCTGGACATCTCCTGCTGTGGATTGCTACTGTCGGGGTCTCAGAATGAGGTCTCTGGGCCCTTAGCCCTTTGACATTCGTGCCGAGTTCGGGGGTTGGCAAACTCCTGCCTAGGTTGCTTGGGTTTGCTGCTGGAGTCCCAATGGGTGTGAGCCTCGGCCTGACCGGAACAGCAGCCACATGACGAGTATGGCCAGGAGCGCCCCTAGTAGCGTCCTCTAGCTCCTAGAAGTAATGCCCTTTGTTACTAGTAGCGATGCCATCGTTGCTAGTAGCTTCTTGTTACTATGCCAAAAACCTGTCATGTCAACTCTGACATGTTTATCCCCCTCTTGGCCAGGCTTTCATTGCTACCCTGAGCTGCAAAAGGGCTACATGCTCCAGGCAGTGACTGTTGCCTTGGCAGCTGTATGTGCCTTTGCATTCCACAGTGTTTCCCACATGGCTGTTCCTGACAGGAATCTGTTAGTTGCTATAAATCCTTTGAAGCTTGGAATATGTAGTATGATCAAAACTTTTCCATTGAACCATTTTGAACCTCTGCAGTGGAATCTGAAGAAACAAAACGATAAAAAAGATCTTGGATTGTGTTGTCGCCTTGTAGATCTAGTAGGGAGTTGTGCAACCAAGGCACATTCAGGGGTTAGTGAAGTGGTGAATGATAGAAGCATACATTCTTTTTGCACCTGGGCAACAGGCTATCAAGTCTGATCAAACATGGCAAGAGTTAGATCCGATGAGCCTGTGGAACTGCACGTCCCATCGAGCAAACGGCTTACCATGCAATTTGCAAGTGATGCAACTGGACACATTGAAACTCAGAACAAGGATGATCCTCATGCAGAATTCAGACGATATGACTCCTTGTCGTTACTAGAGGGATGCTCAGGTGAATTGAAGTTTATAGCCAATCTTTGGGCTTTCCTCCCAGGTCTCTAGACAAGCAGCTCCTCCTGACAGGATTCCAAAGGTCTAGTTTTGACTTGGCAAGAAAGATGAACGACACTGAAGCTCGCCATAACATGCCAGGACCATGGTCCTTTGCTAAGATACGCTTTTCAATCAAGCTCTCCATTGATCAACGCTGTGCCCCCTTGGACCAACGAGGTGCCTTCGCTTTCGAGACACCGGCCACTCGCGGGCGCTTCTCCTCCCCGACTCTCATTCTCGGGGGCATCAGCCGCCCGAAGCAAATCGCTGTGATGTCATTCAGTTCTTTTGGTTTTTTGACTGGATTCAGCAAGGGAACTGCAGAAGGATTCAGAAAACAAACCCGTACAGCCCCCTAAAAATGCTCTACTGATGACTCAAGCCCTAACGGGAAAACAGAAAAGTGCTGTTTAGTTTTATCCCGGAGTCCAGGTGCGTTGTGGCCTGCACTCCACTGGCTAATGATCTCAACTGCGGGGCGCCAGGCTTGGCTTTCCCTTGCTTTGGAAGGGTGTTTGTTTGGAGTAAGTTTCGGAGTGCGTAGCTGAGATGAATCGGAGGCGGCAGGCGGCTGGCTGCTCGTGGTGATTGTTTGTGGCATTCTAGTTGCTTGGTGATCGTACTTAGCAAATGGTTGTGGATCCACAGTTTACTGGGTGCTTAGATTGGATCCAGTGATATCAACTGCACACTGGAACTTTTTGACTCCAAGGTGTTGTTGCTGTGTCTCGCTTCAAACGGACTTGCAAACATAAAGCCATAAAGGGTATGCAGTAAGTCACTCAGAGTCAGAGCTCCTTCATTTCAATGACAGGCAGTGTGACATCATCTTAAGGCCCAATGGATACCCATTGGACTGACTCACTACACTCTGCTGTGTTGGATGCTTCCTTGCTCTCGCTTCATTCTTTTCGGATGGTTCACTCTCTTCGCGCAACCCTGCGATCGCCTGCGATCGCTGTCGTTTTCCCAACCCAGGCAACGCTCTTTTACACCAAATCCATTCCTGTGCCTTGGAGAATTTCTGTGCAAACGGTGATGGTGAAGCCGCAGATGGTGTAGCAAAGATCCAATAGGCTACATTGACATGGACCTCCATGGGCGGGCAGATCATTATGGGCATTTCAGCAATTGTATAATATGATGCACACAACAACATGATTTTTTTATATATATCATAATATATATATATAAGAGTAAATTATAATATATATATATATTTATTTATTTATGTTTGTCGGTACGTTAGTGACTGCTTTCAGCTAGCTTCAAATCAGACAACACTCACACTTTTTCACTAATTTGATTTCATTGAGAAGCAACAGCTTTAAATGGAAATTGCACATGAGACTGAGTGTCCAGGAGTGCTTTGCACCTGGCCGCTTTGACCTTCTGTGCAATAGTCATCAGCTCCGCGACTGAAGTTGCCGTGCGCGGTTGCCATGCCACAGATTGGCCTGGTTGGACAAGACCTGACCCTAAAAATTGCTCCTCCAGTGCTGTCCTATCCTCAGCAAGCCTGGAAGTGTTGGCGATGCTCATTTGTTTGAGGTTATGGCATGTCTTTATCTACGGGGCTATTGCAGCTTATGCCGAAGCCTGGACCCTGGTGGCATAGATACTTGATTCTTGGACGACCGCACTGCAGGTGATTCTGTAGAAGCTCAGTTGGATGCAGGGCCAATGCAGGGCCATGATTCTGCAAACCTTCAAAGCACAGTTGTTGTAGGCACTCATAGCTGTCTTCAAGCTTACCGCCTCCTCTTCCTTCTGCCAGTAGAGGCGCAGCTGTTGCCTCATATTTGGTGACTGTAATGTGTAAGATGTGGAAGATGTTGCGGTATGCAAGCAACTTGAGCGCAGTTGCAAAGTTGTTGTCCATGCAGCGGCTGTTTGCGAGCGTGTCGAAGTTTCTTGTCAAGGCGAGATTTGCGGGTTGTTTCTCGAAGAAGGCTTGGGACTGAAGCAGAGCGAAGTTCTGGCAGTCTGCCATTGCTTGCGGTTGCAGCCATTTTCTCCACACAGTTCCGGTGGATGCAGTGCATGGAATTGTGGATCAGGTCGATGTAAACCTGTTGGGGATTCATACTCCCCACACGCGAAGAAAGGTTTGTCATTTGGAGGGACAGCTTGGCACAAGGTGCTTGCTCATCTCCCATGCATGCTGGCTATATACACTCTGACTGACTGACTAACATGACATGGAAATGGAAAATGGCCCCTGGTAAGACTAATAACTTTCTTGTAACGATGGTCTTTCCGTTTTCCACTTCGTTTTTCTGTGTCGCTTTTGGAGTGTATTTGTCTGAAACGGACCCATCGTCTGGACGGGTCTGGAACCTCCGTGAGAACGACCAGCTGAAAGCTGTCGCTCCCATCGTCCAGACCTTCGCGCAGTCGATCGTCCTGCGACAAAAACCCGCGCGACGCGACTGCACAACGCGACGGTCTGCGACGGTTTGTACAGAACTCAATGTTTGCAGAGGTTGCCTTGATTGCCACTAAGGGATCAAGTTCAAACAACAAAGAACAATGACTGCAATTCAGCAAAAGGTATTGACCTAGGCGATGCAGCTGCGTCAGACCCTTCAAGTTCTTTGCACCCACCAAGGTATGACATGTTCTTGCTGGACTTGTTGCTACTGTTGAACATTACACTCCAGTAGAATAGTCCATCATCTACGGTGGCATACTTTGGATCATATTTTTTAAACGAGATTTAGCCGAATTTAGCTAGGCTAGGAATATGCAGAATTGACCGCAAACACTCAGCAGCTCACCAACCCACAATAGGAAGCACAAGCTTTCCGACCCTTTCCTTAACATTGCTTTTCTTGTTACATTTTCCACACCCATGACATGTTGAATCCCAAAGCCCAAAATCAAAGAGCAGAGAGATTTGCATGGCCGATCCAAAGCAAGAATCGGTGCTCTTGGTTTGGGATTATGAGGCTTTGGTTGCATTAGACTCGACTCGCAGTGTCTTAAGGCCAAGCATAATTTGCTCTCATATTCGTACAGTGCAAACACACACACTCTGACATTGGTTTGCTGTTAACTCAATTCCCACGATGAGAAGGAAGGTGATGGAACGGAAAGGCGCATGAGTCAGCAAGAAATAGTATAGTTGAACAATGTTTCGACAGGTGGGTGGCGGCGAGCCTCTGTACAATGCATCTGCTTGAGAAAGTGGAATGGTTTGGGGGAAGGTATCATGAATCACCATGGAAGCAAAAAAGGAGATTGGACAGCGTAAGCAACAGCTTCTTTGCAGGTACACGGTACACGGTCAGACGTCTCTGACCGCATCCCATGACATCACTAGCTTCGTTGGCCAGCGTCGTGATGTCATGCGCTGGCCCCCTGCTTGTCTTGAAGGAAGGTCGCACCCTTGGAACAGGGGTTGACACACACACACTGACACTAGCAGATTTGGGCAATGTAGGTTGGGAAGGTGATTGGGAAGGTGAATGGAAAGGGATTACCTCATATCCCAGAACTGACAAAGTCCAGCTGTGGCTGAGGACTGGAGTTTGATCAACACCAATTCTGCACCCCGGCTTCTGACAGTCCGAGTGAGGGTGATCAAGGCGCACATGGAGCTTTTTAATAGCTTTCACATGCTTTTACCTACGAGACCATGTGACTTACCTATGACACCGAGCAGAGAGCAGAGTGCTAAGTCGCTCACCACTGTTTTGTTCGCGCCGTTGCTCAGGACACTCACGTGGTTGAAGCTTTGCATCCAGAACTCATGGATCGATTTAGCAGTCCAATGGGACTCTCGCCGTGGTCCCTTTCAGTTTTTTAATATAATTCTTTCATGTCATCCTTTTGTTGAGTCTTTGTGGGATTATAAAAAAATTTGCTTTTGTGGACCACCAAACGGTTTTTGGAATGTTCTTCTGGAAGACTGGCGCAGCTGGCGAGGCTGGACGCAGCTGATGGATCTTCAAGTGAAAGAACTCTTCGCCAGAGGAGTCTCGCGTTGCTTTGCTGATGCCAGCGGATGTTCGCCTCTCAAACACCGCGGGTTCACTATCCTGAAGCCGGTTTCTACTTCCTCCTTCTCAGAACGACCCGCACACACGGTCCGAAACTTGAAGGAAGCACTGTAGTACAGCTTCCCACAGTCATGATCATGAAGAGCATATCTTTCATTCGAGGATCCAGATGGGATCGGAAAAGCTTTTCAGCCGGACTTCCTGGACTTCTGATTCATTCGATCGCTCCAGCGGCTCCAGGTGCTCGTTTAGAGGCTACGGTGGCAGAGGTGCCAGTGTTTCCTGGAAGCCTCGATGCGATCCGAGCAGCACATGAAGCCAAGGCCAGTGGGTCGAGGAATGAAGTGTGCGGGCCGCAGTGCGGGTGTGGAAAGCGACGATCGAGATCTACGGATCATTGTCCATCCTAGACCTTCTCATGTCCGTGACCAAGTGATTAAGTGTTTCAAATTCCTGTATTATATATTATGCTATATTATACTATATTATAATATATAATCTATATTATAGGATTTTAGAGGGAAGATTGCACGGAGATCCAAGCAAGTCTTCCCTGCCCCAGTTCTTCATCGGGTGGAGAAAGGGAAAAGGGGCCCATGCAAATGCACATCGTCAATCGTCAAGGAGTTTGCAGTGAATGCATGAATAAGGTGCTCGTTCTTTGTCGCTACTTCAAGAACCCTAAAGTTTACGCTTCTTACTCTGTTCCAAGATAACACTTGCGGTCTACAGCGGATCGGATTGTCACGTCCATTTTGCCTGGCAGGTACAGCACGGTCAGATTTCCACACCTGTTTAAATTTACAATACTTACATATACTGTAAGGCTTTCAGGTGTGGAAATCTGACCGCAACTTAAGCGTCGACATGTTGCACGTAGGATTTTAAGGGGAAAGGTTTTGTCCCGTTTTAGAAGTCAAGAAGCGCAACTTTCGGCACCCCAGTGTATGTCTGGAGGTATCCAACATGTTACTTAATCTTACTTTGTTTCAACTCATCGCAGGAAACTCTGCCCTGAGGCAAGCCAGGTAATCCTCAGTGATGCGAACACTGTATTCATCGAGGCTCGAGCTTTTCAAGCAATTGTAACTTACAACCGACTCTCAGATCAAGTGTCAGTCGAGCAAGGGCTCTGATCATGACAATACTCGGCAGTATTCCTCTGTAGTTTGGCGCGCAAGGTCCTGGTTCTTTTTTGAGCTTGGACCATAGAGTTGCTAGGAGCAGACGGCAATTCGTGCTCGATGCAATTCCAGGCCTTTCTTCAGAAAGAAGGCCTTCGACACTGCTTCTCAGAGACATAGCTGCACCATGCTATGCAGTGAGTCAGTATCAATGGGGTCAACCAACCTCGGTACAGGACCGTAGAGTCTTGGCCTTTTTCCTACAGATCGGGTCGGCAGTCACGAGTGGCCATCCTTCCGGTCGCACATTGTGGAGCGTCGGCTCAGGATGTCATCTCGAATCCTGCAAGCTTTGATGAGGAGGGCAGGTTGCATATCAAGCCCTTTCATGAATCTTGCCTCACTTGGCCAACTGGACATCCAAAACAAGCTGAATAAGCTCGATTTCTGGAAGTGGCGTGTTCGATTGCCGAGGATGGTGAAGCTCATGACTGCCCACTTTGCCCCAGTAACTTGTGCAAGGCGGCTGATGGCAACTGGTTGATGAATGTAGCGAAGGGCTAATGAAGGGCTCTTGCTCTTGCGGGCACTGTAGGATCTTGGGTTTCGGTGTGTGCAGTTTTGCTGTCCCCCAAGCAGGCTGCAATTGTCGATCGCATATGCCTCTCTAAGAGTTTCAAATTTTTTGTTTCAGGGCAGTGTCCTGCAGCATTTGTTGGGAGCCACATCACCTGCACGTGTGGCCTATGTGGGCGATGGTGGTGGGGACTTTTGCCCAGCCTGTGAACTTCGCGCCCTGGTGACATCGTGCCAAGTGGTGGTGCAGTTGCAGTTATGGCTCATGTACTGGCTCATGTTTTAGATCATTTCAGGTATGGGACACCACCCAAAATAACAAAACTATACAACACTATATAATTTATGTGAATTTGTCATGTTGTCAAAATAGTATTCCAAACACTGTAAATAGGGTTTCCAGGGCAATTTCAATTAGCCATACTGTAGTTATAAAAACACCTCAAACTCTTCTTTGATATGTTTTGGGCAGTGAGATGCAGTCAGACTGTTGCCACAATCAGGTTATGTGTTTAACTTTCACTAAAGCCCCTCGATTCCAAAGTCTTGAAAAAGAGACACGTCCAACTCCTTTTGTTGGTCGATAAAGGGGGGTGGTAGACCTGCACCACTCAAAATCAAGTTACTTGGGAGGCGGTGGCCACAAGAAAACCATTCCACTCCGGAAACTGGCGAAATTGAGTGATTGCGATTGTCATGTTGTGTTGAAATGCTGCAGGTTGCAGGCAAAATACCTAGCCATGACGCAAATTATTTGGTTGCTAGACTACCCACCCACCCTTCAAGCAATTGACTGGGTGTCGAATGCAGTACCAGAGGGAGGTGGCAGACCATTCAACCACCACCCAGAGATAGGTCGACCAAATGGTTGGTTGAACGTGACTGGCTAAATGGAAGATTTTCGTGTGCTCCACCAATCCAGGAGAGTGCCATATTAAGGTGCAGAACAAGAAGCTACTAGTAGCTCAAAGGGCATCGCCACTAGGAGCAAAGACGCTAGTAGCTATATCCCCCAAAACAATGAATGTCATTGAATGTTCCCCCACAAAATCCACCAAGCTGGATACAAGAGTGGCGAGACATTCTGCCATTGTTTAGAATTGCTTTGTTATGAATGTGTTGTGCATGATTCCCCACATACACACAGGCACAAACAGGCACACACCATTTGAGAGTTGAGCGTGACGGAGTGTGGATGATTGTGCAGATCATAATGAGAATAGTAAAAACAATAAATATAATTAATTAGAATTCAATTTAATTCTAGTAGCTTCTTGTTACTAGTAGTAAGGCACTTGTTACTAGAAGCGATGCACTTGTTTCTACTAGCTTAATGTAGTCCCTTGATTTATAAACCCCCCCCCTCAACAACCAAGGCCTCCAAAATAATGTATATGAAAATCAATCAGTTGATAATTAAATAAGGAATCCTTAGCTAGCTACCTCTGGAGCTACTCTCGCAATATTAAATTAAAAGGAAATAAGAATTCCTAACTTTGAAGACCTCTGGCAATATTAAATTAAAAGGAAAAAATAATTCCTAACTAAAAAAAAAAAAGACATTATTCTAGGGGCCTTTATAAATCAGTGCAGGGGAAAAAAAAAGACATAATTCTAGGGGGGTTTATAAATCTGAGGGCCACATTATTGTTTGGCAACTCGAGGATTCGACTTGAACGACATTTCTAAACCCTGATCCCTCGTGGTTTTAGTAGACAGTTGGCGACAGAACATTCTTTAGGGATCAGGTTACTGATTTAGGCGGGTTTGCTTCCAGTGGTTTTGATTGTTTAGCTACTCGCATGCACACTGAACACGGGTGTTCCTACAGAATCGACAGGTCCAGGTGTGAAGCTGAATTCGAAGGGGGATGCGATGCAACTATGTCTAGTGTGTTTGAACCCATTGTGTCAGTGGTTTTCCTATTTGGGGGTTGCGCATCGTTCGCGCTCGTTTGCTTGCATTGCGCGGTTTCCAGCGCTGGGTACACTTGGCCCAGCTCCTCCAGAGTGTTTTTGTTTAATGCACAACTAAGCTTAAATGAGCGGCACACACACACACATGATCAGACCACCACAAAATTCAGCACAGCCTGCGTAGCAGTTGCAGCAAAACTGATTGTCAGCAATTGGCAACTCAGCGTATCCATGTGCAGTTCACTATATAGAGGTTCAGGGGGCCACCTAGGTGGTTTGCTTTTGAGAGCTGTTAAGGTGGTATGGTTTGGTGAAGATAGTTGGAATTTATTTCAACATTGTGGATAGTGTTCAAAATGTCCATCCTAGGTGGGTGTTCTGTGTGACCACCTTCAATTAATTCTAAATTATATGAGGGTGGTCTATGGTAGGACACATCTATAGTTTCTTGCTTACAGAAGTATTCCAGAAATGTTTCACAGTGCTGTGTTCTTGCACAACAGTTCCTTCCTTTGCTCTCGAAATGTCATGTTAGTCAATCAACATTATCCAAGTTTTGCAGCACTGCACCATGACACCAGTTTTGCAGCACAGCTTGTCCATAATGCTCTTTTTTTTCCTGCGGTCAATATCATAAATATCCGTGTGTGTCGAATCAAACAAGACCACCAGGAAGTTGTGGATTCTGGTTCTTCAACCGACACGAGTTCCCGGGCCTCCCTTAAAATAGTAAGGTTTTCTGAGCGTCAGTGTCAGAACTGTCATGAAAAATCAGAGCGTACAAGATGGGCAGCACTCGTTCTCTAGGCAAAGGGGCATCGCCAGCAGGTTGGAGGCCATCGCTGCTAGTAACAATAAAGCTTTCTAGTAACTTAGGCCCACAAGATCTTCTTTTGTGTCGTGCACCACCCAGCGATCCTTTGAAACGCTTTGGCTTGCTGAGACGCCTCGAAGGACCCGCACAGGCCCGGCAGGGTGTGGTTGTGATTAGAGACCAGACGAGCTACTGAGCTACTGTAATATATATGGCTGTAGAGACCGACCCCCTGGTACTGGTAAAAGAAAAATAGACCACTGCCATAGACCCTAGACTCTAGACTAAAGCTCCTTGGTTGGGGGGCTGGCATGTTCTAGATATACAATGATATACACAGCCGTATAGTAATATATTCAAATAATGTGTATATATATATATATTATATACAACATACAAAAAGGTAGGATTTCTAGCTGTACACTTGATCTGAACCCGTGGACAAGCACAAATGCTGTCAATGGATTCAACTCATCAATCTGGAACGTTCGATTGAACAAATTATCATATGTCAGGACATATGTCTAAAGCCTGATGTACCTTTGATGCACACGTTTCTTCGGACGTATTCTTAAAGCTTTCAATTGTGGGGCCACTGGGATCACTTTTTGTTGATGTGTGGTCCATGGGCAAGAAGCAATCCAATGGAGGGATACCTTTGACTCCGATTTTCAATCAGACTCCTTGCAAGGCAACACGCCATGGTGGAATCGCTCAGGTTGTCGCCAAGGTTGTGAAATGGCATTCTGGCACCATGACAGTTATATATGTGTGTTCACTTTGAAGGGGTAACTTTATTTAGTTACTAGTGTCATGTCATGCAGAAAGCATGCGGACAACATGCATAGGATACAAAGACGCCTGCTGCTTGAAAGATTTTTGTACGACAAGTTTGCTTTGCTTTGCTACTTGCCAAGCCAACGTTGCCAAGGCGATGATCTCCTTGCTGCGATTCGTGGATTCCTTCGTTGACCACAGCCAGCTCGAAAAAGTCGTGCGAGTGTTGCGGACCAACTTAGCCTGCTTCATGATTAATGAGGCTAGTTTCATGCTTGAGCTCTGCCAGGCATCAGGTCATGAAGTATTTGAACTCCACGCCTTTGCCGGGAGACCTGTCAGCCTTGCAGCGAAGCGCGGAGTGCTCGAAGTTTGCGAGCTGATCAACAAAGTCACCATTACAACCACCACATCAGACACCCACATCACAATGATTGCCAAAGGGGTCTCGTACTCATTTAGGGTGCTGCGTATGGAGCGATGTTCCGGCTGCCTGAAGCATACTGAAGCAGACAAAACACAAACGACTTAAAATACTACAAGACGCATGGCTTCTACACTGGTTTCTGTATGTTCCAATAGAAATGGTTGCAGACTGACTCAGTGACTACAGCAACTTTTGCAAAACTGCGAACACTGAGCACAAAATGAGCTCGTTTACACTGATGACTTAGATTGTCGAGAGCTCAAATATTCCTCCCCTCGTCCTTAGGCAGGCTCCAGAGCACTTCAAAGGGCGTGAGCTCCTACACCCTGGTGCGCCAGGGTTGAAGGGTCGAGCTACATGGAGCAAATGGTAATGGTGCAAATGCTGCAAGGAACTGCATAGAGTTTCTGGCTACTGCTACAAATGCCAGCAGACCGTAGCTGACTCCCACAAGCACATACATGGGAGCCGGCTTGAAGAACCAACCACTTGGTGCGTGTTTGCGCACTTGGGACCGGAAATCACGCAGTACGTAATAGGAGCCCCTAGTAGCGTCCTTGCTCCTAGTAGTCCGGCCAGGAGCCCCTAGTAGCGTTCTTGTTCTTAGTAGCGAGGCCCTTTGCTACTAGTAGCTTCTTGTTCCTAGTAGTAACATGTCTTTATTCGACACGCTGCACACATGTTCCGGCAAAGTGTGGTTTGTCCTCCACTGGTCAGCCAAGAACAGGGTCCATTCCATGAGCTTGATGAACATGGGCGGGTTCGCCTTTGCCACTTGACGAGCTAGGATTTGTGGGATCTAGGGTTGAAAGGGAAGGATATATAGATTGTGTTAAAATTGAGCGAAATGAAGGCTTGCCGATGCAGGTGATGATCCCTTGAAGTCGTTGATCCGACAATCCAATGTCGCCGCCTTGGAAGAATTGAGGATCTCTAACTAGGTAGATACTCCAAGATGTAAGAAGTAGGCAACTGGTTTGGCTTTGATATTGGACACTTGCTACTATGGCAGGATACTTTTTTGGTGCTTTTTGGGCTCCTTTTTGGCGCTTTTTCATCCCCTTGGATCTTGGTCTTCCAGCAGAACTCTGTAGGTTCTCACCGATGTTTGTGCTGTTCAATGCACTGGAAAGAAAACGCAACAGTATTGTTCAAATCAGGGTCAGTAGAGTAACACCCTTGACCCAACCGGGGCAGAAACTCTGGGAATTATTATCAATGGCATCAGCAAGTAGGGCACAGCGGCAGGGTGAGTGTCGCCTGCTGAAGCTGTTGGGTGTGTCGTCTTTGATTGGATCTGAAATTGTTTCCTCGACCGCTTCTAAGGAAGAAGAATCTTTTCGAAAAGCAGCAGAGTTTGTACTGCTGCATTCGAAGCATGAGGGCAATTTGCAGGAAGAGGCACTCATGGAGCCAGCAAGGGATAATTTCAAAGAAAGAGTGTGGATCTGCAGATCACAAAAGAATCCAAGCATATCATATCCAAAGACTTTTCTGGTGACATCCTGCTGGGATGATGCCTGGAGCTGATTCCTGCCTGATCCGCCCAGACCCGCCAGACCAGAGTCAAAGACCACCAAAGTATGCTCCTGTCACAATGGGACCTTTATTGGATGGCTTCGCAATGCTTAGCAGCTAGCAACCATGTTGTTGGTCTGTTGCTTCCTCAAGCACTTGGATCACCTTGGCCAGATCAGAAGACGAGACCTCATCCAGGAGATTTGCCATGATTGTGTCAGTGCCAATCGATGACCTAAGGAAAGTTCATTTTATTTGTCCTTTGGACAATGGGACTAGTCCTTTCTGTACATGTTACATGTGAGTGATGTAAATGCAAAACACGTATTTGGATTGTAGTATTGTCGTACCGGGCGCAACAAAACTTCTGTATATCAAACATGGAACATTGTGCTGCATCGCAACATAAGAATGCAGCACGCTGACGAGGTCTCCACACATGACATGGCCCGTGATATATTTCAATTCTGTAAGGCTTTGGCGTGAAATCCGTCATATAGGTGGTAAGTCATGAGGTTTCATGCCTAGCAACACGTGGGGAGATCTCGTGGTGCAGGCGCTGGCTTCAATCCACCCCCCAGGATGCAGAGTTGAGTGTAAGATATTCTATGTTTGTCAGTGCTCGTTTGTAGTGCTGAAAGTGCGCAAGTGTGTGTGTTCGTTTTGGTGAAAGTGCGCAAGTGAGTCAAAGTACGCACGTGAGTGAAACTTTAGTGAGTGTCCGGCCGCCACAACAGTAGGGTGATCAAATGCGATTGACCGCTGTTTGAAAGTTGCTCTTTGGGCCATATTGACTGCTTGTAAGGGATTGTAAGGGTGACTGGTGGCTACGCTGTGCCATTTGGCCATTTGGTGGAAATCCCGGCACTTGCCAACTAGCATGTTAGGGCTAAGATATAATCGGTCGGTGATTTGCAACTCTTAGTTCAACCTGTTCAATTTATAGGCCAGGGTATTTATCAGCAAGGTGGTTGTAGCTTTTGGCGCTTCTAATTCAGAAAGAAGTCAGACCAAACGAGCTGATGAACAAAAGGACAAATCCCATGCATATCATTGCAGTGCTTGCGGCTTCACTTTGGAGTCTTACAGGTTCCTTTTCCAAACTAAGGGTCTCGACATATGCACTTTAGCCGAAATCAACAATTTCTTTGCGCAGGATGCAGTTTCCCGCCGAGAGAACACGCGCCCCATGTTGCCAGCTCCAATGTCTGGGGCCCCGGACATCATTATATAGCGTTTGTAGCCAAAGTGCCATGCACTTTTGTTTTAAAACGGCTTGAAACCCATTTGACCTGCTATTAAAAGCATTGTTCAGGGACCAAAAAGGGCACCAGGAAAGAAACCACAGTAGCTTAAAGGGCGCAAATTTTTGGATAGAAGCGTTTCCAAGGTGGGAACAGCGACAACATTATGCGTCGAACTTGGGGCGCTTTTGTCAAAGCTGTGAACGTGGAGGTGCTCAGCAAGTTTAGCATCAAGGGATGCTGATGCCAAAATTTTGAGCATCAGTAGTTTTTTGGGTGCCGCATGTTTGATCAGGGGTGATCCTGTGTCCCTCACCGAACTGCCTGCACTTTTTTCTAGCTGGGATTTCAGACAGGGACAACCTGTTTTTGTCAACCCTACCTCTGAAATGTTTGGGGACAGGTCCGCCGCACACACATCTCGTTTGTCCTTTGTGTTTGCCATGATTTCTCCTTTGGCTCCATGCTGTAATGCCAAAACGAAAGCTAAGTCCCGCCACCTGCATTCACCCCACGTGAAAAGACATTTGTCGAGACTCGAGACACGAATGAGTTTCAGTAACCCTGGGTGTGTCAGTACATGTGACGCGTGCCCACAACCTACTGTGCTTTACAGCAGGTGTTGTTTGTTTGTCCCAGAAGGGCAAAAGGGCAAACTGGCAAACTTCAAAGGAAGGTTTACTTTGCCAACTGCCCTGGCTCTTTCAAGCGGAAACAAACATGGAGAAAGCGATGGTGATATCGTGAAAACGATGATCGTGCTGTAAAATCGATGATGATGATGATGATGTTGTGGATCATGATCCAACCCCCTGACCACTGGTTTGTGGGTTTGCCCTCGGTTTGGTGCCTTGACAAACGATACTCGTGGTGCTACTTGCAATGTGACCATTTGCTTAAAACCCTAAGGGACCCTATCCACAGGGTGTACGCAGTAGTCACACAACTCTTCGATGACAACGTTGTGACGATGACAATGTTGTGAAAAGGAGGAACATGTAGTCCGACTGACATATTTGTTAGATTGTGAGTATCTGCGGAAGGACATCATTTCAAGTTGATGACAAGAATGAAGTGAAGTGGATGCACTGTCGAAAACGCTAAAGCCGCCAAAAACATCCAAAAACTACTGTATATAGACGGATCATCCAGATCATACGTACTCATGCGTTGCGTTTCTTTGTTTTACCAAATTGAGCATGATTCAACTTCATGTCCGATCCTGTCGCTGAAACCAGCAGGTCCGCACCAGAGCGCTAAGCGCATGGGTGCGGGCGTTCACTTAGTGGATGAGTGTGGCAGCTTAGTTGGAATTGACCAGCCGTTGTCCATGCTAGACCTGTCACTCTGCAAGCAGTTTTCCCGACATTTGTCACAGCTGTCACGCTTGATCTTTTTGATTTTGTTGCAGATTACTTTTCAGAACAAGGTCTCAGACACTCCAAGATCCTTTCTTTGCCTTTTTCCTTTGTTTGCTTGCACCAAGATCTGACGGCATTCCCGCGGCTGGAAAGACCAAGACAAAGTATGAAAAGAATAGGCCCAACGCTTAAGATGACTTGTGGCTGAAACAACGCCTGCTTGTGTGTGTGTGCGCGGGGCAAAGTGTTGCTGGCTCAACAACAGCAAGAGCATCAAGAACCATTGTTTTATATGTGGATTGTTTGGCATTTGAACTGTTGTAGAAGATTCGCTCACGATCACTGACTGAGATTGTTTCCATTTCAATGACATTGGCCCCCAAGCCGACCGGTGACACCACACTGTGAAATGCTTATTTGGTAGAACCATCATCACTAATTTGCATCAGGCAAACCTCGCATACGTCTTGTTTTCGTCCGTTTCTATGTAATTAATCTTCATGATACACCCTCAACCTCCGCAAGGCTCTCTTGCAGAGTGCGGCGATATACTGGTGACGCACGTACAGTAAATAGATTAGCTGCAGCAGAACTTTAAGTATGAGTCAGCTTTGAGTCGGCATTTGCGCCAGGGTTGGATTGCTG